ACTCCTGGGCTCAAGCGAGTCTCCTGCTCCCGCTTCCCAAGTAGCTGGGACTACAGGCACCTGCCACAACACCGGCTATTTTTTGGTTGCAGCCATCATTGTTGTTTGGCGGGCCTGGGATGGATTTGAACCTACCAGCTCAGGTGTATGTGGCTGGCACCTTAGCCACTTGAGCCACTTGAGCCACCTCAGCCACAGGTGCTGAGCCAGCATTTTTTCTGAGCACTGTGGAAGCATATAATGTCATGATTGGAAAGCAACTTAGAGTTCATCATTTTACTAAGGACATACAGCACCAGAGTAACTTCTGTAGGATCACACCATGCTTTACAGTCTGGTCTGTTGTTTTCTAATGGCCCTTCTTATTTGGCTGTATTGGCTCAACCTCTGTCTATTCTGGTGTCTTTTCCCCATTTTCCTACACTGACTATTTTCCTCTCTTTGTTTCTTGAGCCCTGGAAGAACAGAAATAATGAGACATTTCCAATATCCTCCCCTGTTCTCTCTGTGTAACTTGTTTCTTAATGGCTTTTCTTCAGATACACAGGGTATACATGATTCTGTTCCTTCAGTAGATCAGGAATTGAGTAAAAGTTTTCTTCTTTCTTTTGGCAGAAGGTGAGAACAGGATGAAGAGTTCAGAGTTCACTTTAAAGCAGGAAATTTCTAATGGATCAGAGTCATCTGATAGGACAACAGGGGGGCTCTTTGCAGTAGTTCCTGGGGGAACGGAGGCTGGATATGTCCATGAAAATACTTTTAAGAAGCTAGAAGGGCAACCCTCAGATGAAGAAGAGAGCAGAGTACAAAGTGATTTCTTGAGAATAACAGACAAGGGTAAGAAAAAATCCAGAAAAGACAGGGATGAGGAATATAAGAAAGTTGGGAAACATCAAAATCTTCCCTCCATTCCTGCTGAACATGGGGGGACTCTAAAGGGACAGAAGTCCTATCAGTGTGATGAATGTGGGAAAACTTTCAGTTGGAATTCACACCTCATTGGTCATCAGAGAATCCACACTGGAGAGAAACCCTATGAGTGTAATGAATGTGGTAAGACCTTCAGACAGACTTCTCAGCTCATCGTTCATTTGAGAACACACACAGGGGAAAAACCCTATGAATGCAGTGAGTGTGGAAAGACCTATCGGCATAGCTCCCATCTCATTCAACACCAGAGACTCCACAATGGGGAGAAACCTTATAAATGTAATGAATGTGGAAAAGCTTTTAATCAGAGTTCCAAACTCTTTGACCACCAGAGAACTCATACCGGAGAGAAACCTTATGAATGCAAGGAGTGTGGGGCGACATTTAGTCGGCATAAAAATCTTGTCCGACATCAGGTCCTTCACAGTGGTAAGAAACTTTACAAGTGTAATGAGTGTGGGAGAGCTTTCTGTTCCAACAGAAATCTTACTGACCATCAGAGAATCCACACTGGAGAGAAGCCTTATGAGTGTAATGAATGTGGCAAGGCCTTCAGTCAGAATAAATGCCTTATTCGACATCAGAGCCTCCATACTGGGGAAAAGCTATACAAATGTAGCGAATGTGGGAAAGCCTTCCATCAGAACTCTCAACTTGCTGACCATGAGCGAATTCATACTGGAGAAAAACCATTTGAATGTATTGAGTGTGGTAAGGCGTTCAGTCTGAGTAAATGTCTTATTCGACACCAGAGACTTCACACAGGTGAAAAGCCCTATAAGTGCAGTGAGTGTGGAAAATCCTTTAATCAAAACTCCTACCTCATTATACACCAGAGAATTCACACTGGTGAGAAACCCTATGAATGTCATGAGTGTGGAAAGGTCTTCAGTTTTAGCTCTAGCCTAATGGTACATCAGAGAACCCATACTGGAGAAAAACCCTATAAATGTAATGATTGTGGAAAAGCCTTCAGTGACAGCTCCCAGCTCCTTGTGCACCAGAGAGTTCACACTGGAGAGAAACCTTATGAATGTAGAGAGTGTGGGAAAGCCTTTAGTCAGTGTTCCACTTTTAATCATCACCAGCGAACTCACACTGGAGAGAAGCCCTCCAGTCTGACTCAAGTCAGTTTCTTAAGGGCTGGTTCTCTGAGACACAAAGACCTTTGAGTTAAGCTTTCTTTATAACAAGGATGCTTTTCCTGGTCTCCCTTTGGAAGAACTAATCAATTTGAGTTATTGCCTGCCTGATTTCTGTTGGGTCACTAAGATCTTTCTATTTTCCTTCTTTCTTTCTTTCCTCTTTTTTTTTTTTTTTTTTGAGACAGAGTCTCACTATGTCACCTTTGGTAGAGTGTTGTGGTGTCCCTGCTTACGACAATCTCAAACTCTTGGGCTTAAGTGATTCACCTCAGCCTCCTGAGTACACATGCCTGCCACAACACCCATCTGTTTTTTAGTTGCAATTGTCATTATTGTTTAGCAGGCTCAGGCTGGGCTCGAACCCACCAGCTTTGGTGTACATGGCTGGCGCCCTACTCACTGAGCTATGGGTGCTGAACCTTTCTATTGGTTTTTCAATCTTGAAGAGCTTTGTTAGGTGAGTGATCCTGGGCAAATATCTTAGCTTGCTTGTATCTTAGTCCCTCCATCTATAAAGTGGAACTACCTCATAGGATTGTGAGAATTATATTAGTTCATATGTATAAGGTACTTAAAACAGTGCTTGGCATTCAGTACATAGTCTTGCAATTATTGTTATTAGAGTTTTTTTTATTAGGAATGGTTGCTAAGTTCTATCAGGTTTTTAAAAATTCATTGTTGTAATTTTATTGGCTCTGTCCTTTTTTAATAATTCATTTGTTGGCTAGTTTCCAAACACTATCTATTTCTATCACATGAAAATAGCATTCGTCCCCTTCACAGTGGTCACAGTTCCATCCTGGAATTGGAGACACTCATCAGACATTAAAACATGCCTGTACTTTGATCTTGGGCTTCCTAGCTTCTAAAACTGAGAAATAAATTTTTATTCTTTGTAATTACCTGATCTCAGGTATTCTGCTGTTGTAGCACAGTGGATTAAGACATACCCTAAGGATGACCACCTGTTAACTGAGACTATGCCCAAAGGGCTGAACTTTGTAGTGGTGATGGCTATGTAGCCTAATCTAACAGCAACTCTCTGCTGTATATTTAGACTTCATGGGCTTTTGCAAATGGGCTAGCCATATCATCCAGTGACTGGAAGATTGATGATTGTCCAGGGGATGCAACATGATGAACTGTGCCACATCAACTGGAGCAAAGGGCCCATGAGAGTGTGGCATTGTTCCGTGAAAGGGCTATATATGCAAAGTGATCCCCAAATGCCAGTGGAGCCATAACACCAAATAGGGCAAACAAATCAGCACCTCTGTATATGATGGTTTATTTTGGAGCCTTGTGGACAGAAGTGTGGTCTTGGGTGGTAGTAAAAAGGTAGATGTCGGCACCTCAACCCACAAAATCCAGGACATATATCTGGGGCAGAAACTATAGATGCTCTAGAAGGAATTTGCTGGTGGATGAGAGAATGGTGTTGGCATCACAGTGTGTGATTTCTGCAACAGCCATCAAGGGTTATTTTGGAAAAAAGGTTAAACTTATATTGAATGGATGTTCTACATAAAAATATATCACCTAGGTATTTTGGAGGCATTCCAGACTTATGGTTAGGCATTTAGCACCTATAAACGTCATTCTTGTCCCCATAGCATATTGGCCACATTAGACTGGTAAATACTGATTCTGGTGATGCCTCAATGCCATAGGTACACATTCTGGAGATGGGATTGCCATTCCAGTGTGCCATGTAGATGTGGCAACTCCTATAACAGCTTTAAAAAGCACCTCTCCTGTGTTTTCTAGTATCCAGCAGTATTCCAACTTAATCAAGGCAACATATTCATTGCACAAACTACATAGCAATGGGCATGCTTCCATGGTGTAAGATGCACCTTTTGGCCAGGAGCAATGCCTGTGCCTATAATCCTGGTACTCTGGGAGACAGGCAGGAGGATTTCTTTCTTTCTTTTTCTTTTTTTTTTTTTTTGGTCTGGAGACAGTCTGACTTTGTCACCCCTGGGTAGAGTGCAGTGGCATCGTAGCTCACAGCAACCTCAAATTCCTGGGCTCAAGTGAACCTCTTAACTAAGCCTCCCAAGTAGCTGGGACTACAGGCACCCACCACAACACCTGGCTAATTTTTTAGAGACAGGGTCTCACTCATGCTCAGGCTGGTCTCAAACTCCTGAGCTCGAGCAACCCACCTGCCATGGCCAGCCTCCCAGATTGCTAGGATTATAGGCATGAACCAGCCAACGGGAGGATTTCTTGAGGTCAGAAATTGGAGATCAGCCTGAGCAAGAGCAAGACCCTTTCTCTACAAAAAATGGAAAAATTAGCCAGGTCTTGTACCTTTAGTCCCAGCTACTTGGGAGGCAAAGGCAGGAGGATCACTTGAACCCAGGAATCTGAGGATGCCACACTCTAGCCCAGATGACAGAGCAAGACTGTCTCAAAAAAACAAAGTGCCTTTTATCACCTTTCTCATTCCCAGGTGAACAAGGTAATAGAATCATGGAATGGGTGGCCCAAGCAACAGTTTTGCAAAAGCATTCAGTACTACTTACTGGTTAGTACCCCCACCTAACAAAAGCCATCTGGACATTAGACACAGCACTCCAGTGGAAGAGAAACAGCACTGCAATCCATGTTGGGAAGCACTGAGCTTGAGGCAGGTGGAGGACCAGGCTGCACTTGTGCAATCCCAATCTCACTGTAGCAGATAGACTTTTTCTGATTTGTTTTCACTGTGAAGCACTACCCAGTGGTGGTTTGTGGTCTGGGTTGCAGTGCCTTCTGATTCAAGTCTGGAGGCAATGGTGCCTTCGGGTACCTCCCTTTTGGGGCAGCCCATAGGGACAGGGAAAGGTATGACAATATTAGGGCATTAATGTTTCTCTGATCTTGCCCAGATTCCTGATCCCAAGGTGGGCAATACTATAAGATATGCTAAGGCCAGGTGTGGTAGCTCTTGCCTTTAGTCCCAGTACTCTGGGAGGCTGAGATGGGTGGATTGTCTGAGCTCAGGAATTCAAGACCAATTTGAGCAAGAGCAAGACCTCTGTGTCTAAAAAACAGCCAGGCACTGTGGCAGGTGTCTGTAGTCCCAGATATCAGGTAGGCTGAGGTAAGAGAATTGCTTTGAGCCCAAGAGTTTGAGGTTGCTGTGAGCGATGGCACACTACTGAGCGTAACAATGTGAGACTCTGTCTCGAAAAACAAAACAACAAAAAAACCAAATAAAGGGTATGCCAAATTTCTTCAAAATTGTGAGCTTCCTCCCCAGATTGGACAGCAGAGGCTAAAAGGTTTAGGTCTGCAGTGGATCCCTGCAGAAGTGTAGCCTCAGGACTCAGAGTGGATAGTTATACACAGGCAGTCCTCACCCCAGGACATTGGATAAGAACATCTCTGAGTTTGGGGGTTTTGTGGAGTCAAACACGGGTGGGATCATCAATCCTTCCTTTGCTCATTCCTGCAGGAGACTCTGCCATGGCTGACATGACAATACTTCGATAAGGAACAGCACAGCTCAGGCTCAGCGCCTGTGGCTCAAGCAGCTAAGGCGCCAGCCACATACACCTAAGGTGGCGGGTTCGAATCCCCAGCCTGGGCCCGCCAAACAAC